TTGGACAATTAAGCCTTTGTGATGATGCAGCAATAGCTAATGGGATACAGCTGGGACTTCTGCACAACTAAATAATCCCGATGAACATTGACTTCATTAGATTTACACCAGCAGTCAAAAACTGACTCACTGTACTTAATGAGGTCAATGAGAGAAAACTTTTTTTTAATCTTTCCTCATATTTTTAACTGATATCTTTATTGTATAGGCTTAAGGTGCAAAGGCAACCTTTCTCTTTCCTCTCCCCCTGTTCCAAATGCCTTTCTGGAATACAAAATAGGATATTTTTAATTCTGATTTTACTTATAAAGAGTAGACTGAGATCCTTAAACTAACTTGAGTTAATAGCCCATGCCAGTATATGCATTAGTAGATTATTGAGTGCTTCTTTGAGCAATTGACAGAACACTTAAGGCATACACCAATATCCCACTAATGTGCATCCTGTTGGGGCTTATTGACATGATGATTTAAAACTAAAATAATCTAATGCTATACGCTTGCAATAACTATGTCCTGAATTCTCTTATCTCAGTAGTGTAATAAGCTTTGAAAAACCTAGAGCTGTAACAAGTGGAATAGCACTGCAATCTTAGGTGAAATATACTTTTTAACACGGGGTCAAATTCTGGTTGTGTGTGGGTGTACATATGAATGTACAAACAAACAGACAGACATGTATATTTTACAATCATAGAGAAGTAGGGCTGGAAGGGACCTCCAGAGGTCTTCTAGTTCAATCCCCTCCCTGAGGCAGGATCATCACTATCCTATCCAAACTCATTGTCTAGCCTATTAACAAAACTACACAGTGGACCCTGACACAACCACAAGACATAATACCTTAATCTGCCATAGGTAAAGCAGAGGGAGCATGGTGACCAATGTACAGTTGCAAACATTGTTAAAATATGCTTGAGAGATTCAAGGAATAAGGCCATGCCCCCCACTACAGAGGAAGACAAAACCCTTTGGTCTGTACTAAGCTAACCTTAGGGTAATATTCTTTCCTGACCCCAAATATAACTTCTGCAAAATGCTTGTACCATGAAAGTAGAATTAATATTAGCCCTCATTCTGGCTGCTTTCCATCTCCATGTTCAGCTGCTGCTACAGATCACCTTGCCAGGACAGGAATAATCTGTTTTGAATGGAATTACGGAGGTGGTTCAGAATGCTAGAGCCCCTATGTCCTACACTGGTATGACACTCTCAAGACTGGGTCTGGAGGATCTCTGCTGTAGCATTTCTATGGACATAAACAGGATACAATTTTTATGACAATTTCTCCTCCTAACCAGGTGTGGTTTCCTTTTTTGATGGGGGTTACATAACAACACTTTGCAATTCTTTAACTTGAAACTTTCCACTTGAAACTCTAAGAGCACTTTTAAACAATATTTTTATCCTCAAACACATCCTTTGCTCTCTGTGACAGTTTTCCCCAGATACGGGAACTGAGCCAGAGGAAAAAAACCACTAGATATTGATTGTAGGGCCAAAGATAGAATACAGAATCTTTGGCTCCTAACCCTGTGAAAAATTACCTGTCCTCTCTTTCAATACATTTCAAGATTGTCCTTTCTTGTCACATGAGCAACCCTGGTTAGAATTTTTCCCATTAAAGTACTACATTTTTTTATTGATAGGATTACTAGTATTTCCTCAATGCCTGCATGCTGTGTACTCCCTTAACCTCTACAGAAAACTTTTCTTTTTCCTGTACGACAGTTAGTGATCCACATCAGAATTCAATTTCTGGCTGCTCTAATGCTATTCATGAACCAAATTATCCACTAATATTGTATAACAAAATTATCATTCATGTTGTTTACTTGCAAAATAGAGTGCAGAACACTGAAGAATTCTTTTAAAAGAAAAAGGAACCATTCCTTTTATGGTTAGTCATCTTTATACCGAAGTTATGAACCAACCAATCAATATATTAATAGATATATTTCTGTACCTGTAAAGTGAATTCATTTTTAAATATCTGAAACTCATTATTAGAATATGAATTGTTCATTACAATAATTAAAACCCACATACTGTACATTAGAGGTGGTTAGAGATGACAGTATATCTTAAGCAATTCCTGTTTTATAACAATATAAAGGTCCTATCCTAGAATCTATATAAAAGCAAAGCTTTGAGTTCAAGAGCAGGTGTGCATCTGTAAGAAATAGAGGACAGGATGCTAACAGTTCCCATTACTTTGTAAGGAACTGAACATCCTCAGTTTCCATGTAAGCCAGTGGAAGTTGGATGATTAATCAAGCAGCATCCAGAATCAAGTTCAAAGTACATCATTGTAGAAGCAGTTACCTCCCAATAATATTGAATAGTCACTAGGACTTTTTGGGCACATCTACATGTGCAATAATGCGCTGTAACTATGGCACATTAAGTTTAGTACCTATAATAACTTAACTTAATGCACTGCCATCGGTGCTACAGTGCACTAGCACCAGTGCACGTCTTTTTATATCACGCTAACACACAGTACAGTAATACCTTGGTTAATGAAGTAGATGTGTTTCATGACGTCACTTTGTTATCAGAAACTTCGTTACCAGAGGTAGAAATAACATAGGAGACAGAGGCATAGGGATGCGTTCCAGGACTTCACAGAAGGGAAGGTACAGTAGGAAAATATAATTAAATACTCACAAAAATAAGGTCACGTGCCTGAAAACATGAAATAAGCATTTTAAAAATATATACAGTGGCGATGCATAGGTGAGTGCCGGTGCATCCCGACTGCCCACGCTTGCCACTCAGGCAATGGGCAGGGGGGGCAGGCAGGAGCGCCAGTTCCCCTACTGCAGGCGCCAGCTGGCGCTTGCTCCCAGAAGTGGCCACAGCCACTCCTGGAAGCAGCTGCAGCAATCGCAGCTGGTGACCCCCTCCTCCCCCACCCCCATTTGGCAGGATTGCCCACGGGGGACACCCCCCCAAGTCAGCAGGACTGGTCATGGGGGGGGGCACATGCCTCCCCTAAGGTGGCATCAGTCGCCCATGAATATATATATACATATTGAAATACGTTAAATAAGATAATAAAGCAATAAAATAACACTCCCTCCCTCCCATAGCCCCCACAGCCTTGCTGGTGCCCCTTGCCCCCCACCTACAGCCCCAATTCCCCCAGCCCTGCAGGAGAAGACCCCCAGCTGCCAGGGCTATGGACCTCAGTCGGTTCGCAGCCCCCAGCCCCTGCTTCTCCCTGCTGCAGGATTGGGTGGGATGGCTCCCTGCCACTGCGCACACTCCTGGGGGACCTGCGCCCCACAGCTCTGTACTGCCCTGGCAACCCACCTCCTGTGCATGCTGCTGTTTTGAGGGATGCAGCCCCACACTACTGCTCTCACTGCAGACCCGCGCACAGGAGGCATGTCGCCAGGGCAGCATGGGGGGAGCTTGCAGCTTCTCCACACGGCTCAGCTCCTCCTTGCTGTGCTGGGTGGCACCCGCTGGACTGTGGAGGCCCCAGACGAGGGAAGCAGTGTGGAGCTCACATTTGTGAGCAACTTCTTTGTGCAACTCAGCTGCTCCCTGCTGCACTGGGGCATACCTGCTGGGCTGTGGAGGCCCCAGGGGAGGAAAGCAGGGCAGCAGAGAACAACAGGCCTACATGGAGAAGCTGCTTGCTGTTGCTCGCTCTGCACTGCTTCCCTCCCTCGGGGCCTCCACAGCTCGGCAGGCTCCACCCAGCACAGCAGAGAGAAGCTGAGCCACGTGGAGAAACTGCTCACCACTGCAAGCTCCCCTCATGCTGCCCTGATAATGTGTCTCCTGCACACAGGGCTGCAGTGAGAACAGAAGTGCAGAGCTGTGCCACTCAAAGCAGCAGCACACACAGGAGGTGCGTCACCAAGACAGCAGGGGGAGCTCGCAGCAGTGAGATCCCCATATGGCTTCGCTGTCCCCAGCCATGCTGGGTCGTGCCTGCAAGGCTGTGGAGGACCCAGGGAAGGAAAGCAGGGTGGGAGCCTGAGCCCACAGCCTGCACCTGCCCCACATACAAATCTGGGGAGCGTGGGTCCCCCCTGCCCCTGGGAATGCATGTGGCAGCAGGGAAGTGGCCCTCCCTGTCCCCCAAAATGAGACATCTGCAGCGCCACCCTGCTCCCCACTGGGGCCCTGTGGACGCACATTGCAGTCCCAAGCCCCAAACGCCAAGCACTGCTTGGCTGGGCAGCAGCCCCAGCCCTGCCCAGCTCCCTCCCCACAGGGGCCTCTTCTCTCCTCCCCCACTTACCTGCTGGAACTGTTCTGCAGGCTGCCTGGGGCCACGTGCATGTACATGCATGTGGCACCCCATGTCTCACTCCCTTCCTCCAGCTCCCTCCCAGCTCCCTGCAGGCTAGAACTGCCAGCGTGCAGGGAGCTCATTGCAAAATTCATTTCTGAAGATTTTTTTCCAATTGTTTTATTTTTTTTTGCAAAAAACAGCTTACTTCGTTATAAAGGAGCTTTGTTCCTAGAGGATTTGTTAACCAAGATATTACTATAGACCAGTGGTCACCAACCAACGGTAGACATCAGAGCCTCTTGATCCACCAGTAGATGTCGGAGCCTCTTGCAGTAGATCTTGGAGCCTCTTGGAGTCAATCCAAGGCTGGGGTTGGGGACTGAGTGCCCACATGCATGCATGCGCATAGCCCAACCCAGCAGGTCAGTCCACCGGGGGAGGGAAGGGGCAGAAGCTAGATTCAGTCCCCTGTGGTGAGGGACAGTACCACAGAGGTAGGTTGAGTGGGGTCCTGGGCAGGTGAGACTTACCTGCTGGGGAAGCGCGCCCCCAAATAATTTTTTCTCCTTCTGCCTTGATCACCCCCCCCCCGACTTACCTGCTGGGCAGGGGGAGGTGTGGCAACAGCGCATGGTAAATCTTTGCTTGCTTTTAAATGCCAAAGGTGATCTACTTAAAAAGGCTGGAGACCACTGCTGTAGACTAATTCTATTATGCATTAGCACATTACCAAGGCTTTTGCCATCATACGCTAATGCGCAGTAGAATTAGTCACTACACTTTTAGCATCTCATGTAGACACACCCTTTAGGTAGTAAACACTGAACCTAACCAATATTTTGCAGAAATGGATCCCCATATAATTCAAATCAGGATGCCCCAAAATAGGTAAATAAAAACAGAACTATATCAAATACTTTGTAAGAACTAGTAAACTATTCATTTAAATTAAAAGTATAAATATATACATAATTTTCCACCTTTAAAGCACTTATAAAAATAGTACAATATTTTTGTGTCTTACTGAATTGACATTTCTAATGCATTTAGACAGTTTTCATTTTAAAAGCCAGTTACAAACTGGTGAGATCTATTTGTAGTTTAATTTAAACTACAGGATTCACCAAAATACAGATACATTATCAGGAAACCTGATAGAAAGTTTAACTTGGTAACAAAAAAGAATCTGCATTCACCAATAAATTACTATTTATTTATACCGGGTATATTTACTTAATAGTATAATCTTATATAATAACAGTCAAATTCTGCTCTAAATTTCACTGGCACAGTATCACCCTCAGTCTATTGACATCAACCTGAAGGAGAATTTGAACTAAATCCTCACTTCTGTTGACTGTGAAACCCTTTTACAATAAGAAGAACCTGGAATTTTCACAACTGAATCACCTACGAGCTGGAAGAAATCAAGAAATTTAGATAGCCAATGAGATCCCTAAGTTTGATGTGATGCATGAGGTCTACATTGTCTAATCACTGAGACTATTATTTCAAAATTTAAAAACTTTTACTGAAAACTATAGAACAAAGAGAAAAACTACTGCTGTGAGTAGTAACTAGGACCTCTCTAGGTAGCAAGTACTTAACATAATCCCAATTTTTTGCAGAAATGGGTCCCAAAATAATTCAATTCAGGATGTTCAAAAATAGAAATACAAACAGAAGTGCATCAATTTTTGTATAAGAACAAATAAAACTATATATTTAGACTATGGTATCCACTAATATAGCTACTGATCCAGTAAGAGAAAAAGATGTAGAGGGAGAGAAATCAAGAAAGGAAATGAGCATATTACAAATGTCAGACTCAGTTATTTTTAAAACAGGTGCCTTCTGACCATGTTATTGTTGTATGCATTTCACAGGAACACTGCTGGATTGTTATATTCCTAAATTTCTTAAAATAAACATGCGTTTTCATTTTGATAGTCTCCAGTGGAATAAAGACATTATCTCTTTTGTTAGAACAAGATTAATTAATATTGTCTATTCAATTTAGGGTCCTAACTTGTCCTGTTGATGTCCCATGTTAAATCATCTGGGTTTTGTTTAACAGCTTAGCTGAGTTTTTGAAACACTGCAAGAATCTGGAAAGTTCCATGGTGCATCTTAACACCTTTTGTTAATGATGTGATATTTAAAACAGCACGCAAACTCCTGATTTAACTTCACCTCCGTTTGCACATCCTCCAGTATCTAGCCTGTTAGGATCATTCAATTCTTCAAACAGTCCTGTTTCAATAATTTCTTCCTGCCAGGCTCGAGGGACAGCACCTGTTGCAAACTTCTTGAAGAACTTCTTATCTTTCTCATCAAATTCAATTCCTCGCACTTCAGAGAAGTCAGCAATGTCTGCAAGATCCCTAGCATAGACAACTGATGGATCTGGCACAAAAGGGGGGTCTATCAGGCCTGCATTCAACCTGTGGAAATGTATTGTTTTGAAGAAACTGTGTTTTCTTGGATCATCATCTGAGTTTCTGCAATAAACCAACAGACCGTTAGTCAACACTGTGGTGCGCAGGCTTCCAAACACACAAATCTGGTGGGTGCAGAGAAGGTGGGATATGTAACCCAGACATAGCCCTAGGGCTAAATTACAGCTCTAGAACAGGAAATTCTTAGATTTGGGGAAAGTTCAAACTCCATAGTTTGAGTCTATTTGAATTTTAACTCAATTTTCCTTCAAAAGCCAAGTGTCATTATATGACTAGTGGATTAGGATATTTCCCAATTTTTAGCCAAGAATGTAAGGTTCTTAGTGGAACTGAAGCAAAAAAGGAAGAAACACTAAAAGCCCATAATGACCTAAGAATAACGTGAGATAGAATTCCAGTACACTGTAGGAGAAAGTACAAGGAATTAATGCACATTGACTCAGGGAACAATATTTCAGTATGAGACTGCTGACAAGCAGAAATGAGATTAGTGGCTTTACCTTAATTCAGAAAGGTTATCTGTTCATATCATGAAACCATCAGGAAGGTCTAGTACTAAAATCTTTGTTCTCAGAAATACTCCATACTCAGTTGATTAGCCTGTTTTAGGTCTACAGAGCTACTCCAGTAAGAACAACTTAAGCAAATAAAGGTTTCCAGGATCACGGTCAGATTCATAGTTTGGTGCCCTAACAAAAATCTTAAATCACTTTCCTAATACTTTCATACCAACTTCCCCTCTGTAACCAAATCTATTCTGCCACCTTACTATTATCAACATTAACATTAAAAAAGAAAAAAGAAAAACATACCTATGAGTTAAAAAGAACCATATACATTTCTGTCCTAGCCAATCATCTTCATTGACATGAAAAAGCACCAAAATAGGCTCTTAGACTCATGGGACTGCAGACAGGCCTGCTCTTCCAAGGGCCCACATTACACATGAATCAGAAACAAGTTGAACACCATTCTCAGTTTGCTTCTGATTCTGGTGCCAGCTGAATGTAGTAGGCGTTCTTCAACTGCCCTCTCCAGCTCTCTATTTTAAAAATTGCACTTTGGCTCCACCTTCTCACTCCTGGTTAATATAAACAGGTCACCTAAGGCCACCAAATGGTATAAAGAGGCATGATTGAGGAGCATAGCCATATGAGACGTGTTAGAGCAGGGGTGGGCAAAATGCGGCCCGGGGGCCGGATGCAGCCTGCCAGGCCATTCTATCCGGCCCGCTGGGACCCTAAAAAAATTAGAAAATTAATATTTATCTGCCCCTGGCTCCCTATCATGTGGCCCTCCATGGCTTGCCAAAGCTTAGTAAGTGGCCCTCCACCCAAAATAATTGCCCATCCCTGTGTTAGAGGCAGACAGCTGGTCAAGGGAGATGCACATTACAGTGATGAGTACAGTATAAAAACATTAACCTGATATGTAAAAGGTCTGCAAACCTAGAACCAGCTTGGTTAGCTAGTGACATACAAATACTGATGTAGCTGTGGAGCCTGTTCTTTGTTAGCCTAAAGAGCAATAGAACTGAGGTCAATCAGAGGAACTCACAGATCTGAGACATTCATAGATCTGTCAGTCCTCCCATAGTAACTGGGCAAGATTTATAATCAGCCCACTCAGACAGATTTGTTTTATTTTGCTTTTTGTTCCTACAATATGTGATAAAACACATCAGAACTTGATGAAGCCTCCACAATAGATTTCTGTAGTGTTTCTTCTCTTGACATAATACATATTCTTCTGACATCACCCAGAGTAGAATTACTTATGAAGCTACAGGAACGCCATCTACTGGAACGCACTGACGCTTCTTCTAACTGGTCTGAGAAGATGTACTTGAACTCTCCCTGTGAGAACCTGACATTTGCACAACTCTGGTAAAAAAAAAAACAAATAAATTTGACTTCTACCAAAGTCCTTTGCTAATCCTCCCATAAACTACTTCTGTAGATGCCACCAGACAGTGTGGTAGAGTGTTGCACAAGTCCCAGGGGTGAGAAAAAGGGGTTCATCTTTCCTGAATGAACTAACAATGCTGAATCTTGACTACAAAAAGAACACTTTCAAAAGGTCAGGTGTGCAAATTAAAGCTGCCCTTAAGCAGCTTTACCTTATGTAACAGGCACTTATGTAGCTAACCCAAGGTCTCACTGACTTTAGCAGAATTACAGAACTAATCTTTACATAAGGATGATCTGCTCTTGAATAGTATCTCCAGTGTAATAGGCACAGACAGGCTTTTTTCAAAGTCATACACAGTATGGCTGGCTACCTTTCCCTCACTTTGTCCACCATATGGGTAAGGAAAAAAGGGACAATTTTGTTCATGAATGCCATTGTGACCCTTCCCCAATACTGCAAGGTATTTCTATAGCTCATAACTGAATTTCATGCTCCATTCCTTTCTGAATTCTATGCTCATGTCCTTAAACAACCAGCACCTTCTTCCCCTTGTATCTTTTTTCCAACTGTAGTTCTGCTTATTGGTCTAGTACAGATTTTAGAGGACCTTTTCCCAGTCCTTCAAAAGCATCAAGTGGCACAAACAGAAAAGAACATACAGAAAACAGTATGAAATGTCAAGTGACAAAATGAAAAGTGTTTGCATAAGTAACTGTCTACAAGCACCTCTCCCACTGCTAACAGATAATGTAACATATAGCAGACAGAAGGGTGGTATTGTGGCATAGGTACCAGAATAGTATTGTGGTTATATTAAGTCAGGCCTGTCCAGCTTCTATGTGGCTGTGGGCTGCATCCTCCACAAGCTACAGCGATAGGGACCATATGCCACAGGGGCCACACCAGTGCAAGCCACAGGCCCCAAGGACTGCACACTGCATGCACCCTCCCCCTGCTGCACTGCTTGCACATGTGTGGAGGCGTCTCCCCTCCCCATTGCACCTTGTGCATCCCCACCTCATCCTCAGCTCTTCAACCACTGGCTCTCTTGCTGCACTGCACTTCACAAGTGCACCAGGCCACAGGCTCCCTCAGCACTACAGGCTACACTGGCCCAGGCTGCACTGGCTCCTGGGGTGGAAGCCAGAAGTGGAAGCCAAATGAGGGAGGGGAAGCCCACTGGCTGTTGCTGCAGTCAGAACAATGGAAGGAGTTGGAGGTAGTGGCAGCCTGGCGGGAGTCCTGGGGCCATATATTAACCCCTCATAGACTGCATGCACCCCTTAGGCTGTCAGTTAGACAAGTCTGCATTAAGCAAATGGTCTATTTCTGGTTCTGCTGTGAACTTGCAGCATGACCACAAACATGTCTCTTAATTTGTTGGAGCCTCAGTTTCCCCATCTGTAGCAACAGAGTAATGAAGTTTGTTTCACAGGAGTTCTGTGGCTAAATAAATGTACGTAGAGAGCACTGCAATATCCGATGGAAAGTTCTAACTGTATTATTACTGTTATTGTACTACACACTGAATACTTCTCTGAGTAAAGATGCACTAGTGGCAAATATCCTGATTTACAAATTAGAATGCATGGCTCAATTTTAATTAGTATTTGACTGTAAAAATCTTCATTAACTTGACTGCATTAGATACTAAATATTATGTTTTCTAAACAAGTGATAAGCTATATTTTCTAGGTTCATAAACCCTTTTGTTTACCATACTCTTATAACTCACAGGGTGCATCTACACATTGCCCTACAGCAATGTAGTGATGCACTACACTGCCATATGGTGTGCTATGGTGATATAGTGATCACGTGTGTCTGCACATGATCAGAAGCTATGTCACCATAGTGGCACAATCTCCAGGTATAGTGTGTTGCTATGGCAACATAGCAGTGAAATTTATCCATGTGCCATGTGCACAGCGCAGTAACCACCCATACTGCGCCATGCTTTAGTACTTTTGAAAGGAAGTACTAAAGCATGGCACTGTAGCAGTGACGTGTAGACATGCCCACACTGCAGTAATAAGAGTGCAAAATCTTCAAAAAGAAATTCCCAGTGCTTTCAACAGAAGATGTCCTTGCATAAGAACTGCAAAACAATATCTTTCACAGATAAAATTTAGAAAGATATAACATACCAGCTTTCAGGAGCATTTGCAATACTTTTGCTTTCAAAACTGTTGTGAAAACTGACTAGATACAAAAGCTAGTTGTCCTTATTTATCATAATTATTAAAATAAATTATATTTTACTACATTTTATAGAAAATTACTTGCAGTAGAAAGGCAAGGAAAATTCTGCAATACTGTCTTAATATTAAAATAAGAAAACAACCAGGAGAAAATCTACAAATTTTCACTGAGTCTATGCATCTGACAATTTTTAGAGGTTCTGGATACCATTATAATGGAAAAGCTAAACACTTGGTAAATTTACATTCATATTTGATTAAAATAATTAAATATTCTAAATATAGCCACGTCAATTTCCTATTTATTATTTATATATATACTTTTTGGATTGCTTTGTATTTATCCTGTCTTATTAGCATCTTCCATCATGTATCAACACAAGCTATTGTAAAAGTTAAATACTATAATGTCTATCTTTCCAATGATCTTACACAAAATGGTTTTGAGACCTAGAATGCCTTTGGGATACAAAACAGCTTTTGACCCAGGGCCAAATCCAGCGATCATTAACAAAGGAAAAACTTCACTGAAGTCCTAAACAGAACTTATATCTAATAAAGACCGGGGTCCAAAGGGTGTGTCTACACATTGCTATACAGTGATGTTGCTATGGCACTGTGCTTTAGTATTTTCTTTTGGAAGTACTAAAGTATGGCACAGTAATTGCCCATACTGTGCTGTGCATGTGGCATATGGTTAGATTTCACTGCTACATTGCCCTAGAGGCGCACTATAACAGGGAGTGTGGTGCTATAGCGATGTAGCTGCCGATCACATGTAGATCCACATAAACGCTATGTCGCTGTAGTGCACTGTACGACGATGTAGCACGTTGCTACATCACCATAGGGAGACCGGTAGACACACCCAAAGTGTATCTTTCATTATAAGGGGATGATCAGAGGTCCAAGACATTCTGCCAAAGTCTATCAAACCGCTCTTTAACATGGTGGGGCGCTGGAGTGGGTGATAAGAGGCCAGTTATAAGAAGCAGATGATGCAGGCTTGTATCCACAGGCCCTGAGGGAGGGAGGCGGTCTGTCCTTCCATACTGAAGTTCTGGGCCCTGTCAGAATGGTTCCTACATGCTGCCAGAGACCAGGCACTATGCATTTCATTAATGTAGGTGCAGTGCATTTTTAAGATGTGCATGCTGACTCCAAGAAAGAAAACAATCCTGTGGAGAGAGGCTGCTCCCCGACCTCCTACTGGCCCACATCCTCTCTGTTCTCCAAAGCCATGTAGAACCTACCCCACAAAACTCCAAAGAGAAACTTCTATGAATTTCTGGGGTGGGATTGGAAGACAAGAGCAACATTTTCATGGTCTTCCAAGACAGACCTGATAGAGCAGGATTCTTCCACTTCCAGGAGCACATGGGAAGATTTGAATCTATGTAGAAAGTCAAGATTTTGCATTCCTTTGTATTAAATAATGACTAGGCTTTATTAACCATGGAAATAAATCATACCTGCTTCCTAAACGATTCTCTGTTTTCTTAGCCAAGAACAGTGTGCAAATATCTTTTGCTTCTTTTGTGAAGTTTGGATGCTCAAATGTTACCTCATCTTCTAAGGTTCTTCTTTTCACTTCATCCTTAGTGATCTTTTCTTTGAAATCCTTGAATGGAGTTCGACCTGCAATCATCTCGTATATACTACATCCCATAGCAAACCAGTCCACAGAGAAGGAATAATTTTCTTCCATCAGAATTTCAGGAGCCATATAACCATTAGTTCCAGCCTATGGTAATCAAACACATAGATTTATTACTATACAGTGGCAATACTGAAATGCAAAGATACAAGCAGATTTTACTTTCCTACAGCTAATCATATATAGTCACAACATTTCTCTGAAGTGACCAGGAACAAACTGATGAAATTCTGCATTCAGACATGACAGATGATATTTTATAGATGTATATTCATGTAATATAATTATTTTGGCACATGAACTATTGCTGTGAATAAACACCTTCCTACAAATAAATAAATAAATTTATGGAAAACATTTTAATTATTATGCACAAAGGAAAAAATGCATTTGTGCCATTTTTACATTTCAGTTGACATAAAAAGAAGTCAGAAGTAGCTTTTTAATGTTTGTTTTCACTTTATTTTCTTCTTCACATTAGAAATTCAAGTCGTGTCTACCTTTTCCCCTGATAACTATACATAGCTATGCACTGCTGAAGAACAGAAAATACATGGATATTAGGAGAAACCAGGAAAGTTAAAATAATCATATAATGGATTGTAGGGAAAATGTTCTCTTTAATTAGGATTCATCATCCACATTCCTTCTGTTAACAGTAGAGAAAGCTCCCAGCATATACTACTTTTGTGTTATTTACTAGATTTTCAGGGAAAAAATAGATTCACATGATATTTTAAGGTTCATAAAGCAGCAACAACAAAATCCCTGTCAGGTCTTCTTTGTATTTCCTAAAGAAACACAAAAAGGCAAAGAATCCACTTTTTCCCTTTGAAGCTCTTTTTTAAGCAATGCATAAGCCAAACAGCCTTAGTTAATACTGTGTTGTGCAGCTTTCGAGTAAAAGAGAATTAAGGCATTAGTTTCCAACTTGAACCAAGAACAATTCTAGATACAGAAATAACTGACCATGACCTGGAGATAGTGTACATTTCTAATTTCCTCTAAGGGTCAAATGCACAACACTCAGATCTGAAGGGCAGATAGAACAAGATTACAGCTGAGTTGTATGTTGGCTATCTACAAGTCGTGCTACCATCATTAATGCTTGAGGAAGACTTAACACAGACAAGATTTGCACAGATGGACCCATTTTTACCACCTTAATACTTATGCCTAAATAACAGAGCAATGAAAATGCCAGAAGTCGTTTTGGAGATTTCCTGTACCTTTCTAAACAGATGGGACTGCTGGGATATACTTTCTTTTTAGCATAGTCATTACACTAGTGCAAAATTAAACAGACATTTATTTGAGATGGTGATCATCACTATTATCACCAGGAGTTTATTACTGTCTAAAAGATTCACTATGTGGCAAGTCAGAGTTGCCTTAGGAAGGAGTAACTAAAATTGCAGCTCACTTGGGGCATTTGTAAATGGTATAAAGAAGCATATATGCACAGATAGTTTTCAGTTTAAAGGTGGGGAAACAATTATGTCTTATTATTTCTCCATCTTCAGACAGAACTTTCCTTTTTTTGGTTAGGCTTTTAATCCACAAGGTAACAGTTTCCTCCTATAAACCTAAATAGAGTATAGTGATACAGAGTACAATACATACCCCTATATG